TCCTCTAAGAAGGGTCTAAAAATCCTTCTTGAACATTGGGGCGAGGGGGGTGGGTTCTGCATGGTGCCGGTGCCTTTGTGTTTTTGCCTCGAAAATGGGCGCCCCTTTGGCTGCTGGAAGGGAATCACGGAAATTCGCTCGGGCTCGTAGGTTTGAGACAGCCCTAGAATTGGCTTGGGTTTTGCAACGTCAGCAAGAACAGCGGGGTTGGGCATTCTGTTTCTGAACTGACGGTTTAAGATGGCAGGTCACACTGCGATTCCAGAGTGATATCAGTATCATGACTCACGAGGACTATATGAGAATCTGATAAGAATGAACGACCGCGTTCCAAGAAGCTTGCCAGCGAGCCTTTGGCCCACTGAATGCAACGTAATCAAGATACGTACTACACGTCAACGGTAAAGACTGCAACCAAGACTACTGGAAGAATACAAGACCACGGGAAGAATGCGGCACCACGACGGCAAGACTACGGAATACAGGTAGATACAACATTTGGCTTTAAACCCACTGCAAGCCATGACGGAAAGACGCCAAGGACAAGTTTACAGCACTTTGCCGTGTTGCTTGTTCACCCCATGTTGGTGTGTGTGTGTGTTAAAATAGGGGACCTCCCCAAAATGGTTGTTGTCCAACAAGAACCCGTTTAAGTTGTTGGGTTTGTCAAATGGTAATGTTCTGACTGGAGACTTGCGGCCATCGTACGTTGCGCAGGCACTCCAGCCGCGACGCGAGCGCTTTGGGGAGAAGCTGAAGTTCTTGCCAGTGCTTCGGACAGGAATAGCACGTTGTGGAAAGCACAGTGGAAGAACGCGACCTGCACCACTTGGGATGGATGAAGCCTCAAACAATTGGGATAGACTACCTACCAACTGGTGCGGGACGGTCCAAAGGTAGGAGTTGAGAGCCACGTTCTGAGATTCCAAGGGAGCCCCTTCAAGGTAATGAAGTATTCGTGGGAATGGCCCAAATTGTTATCACAGAAAGGATGATTTTCCACAACCATGGGGAATAGGGAAGCAGCACCCAGGCATTGTCCCACTTGGCCACTTGAGAGAGGGCAGTGATCATGTGTTCTGCAGAGCCTGATGTTAGGCTCTAGTGGTATCGACTGGGAGGAATGATTCAAAACATCCATAAAAACGCCAAGACGGAGTAGGAAATGCACCTTGCTGTATTCCTGTACGTGGCGTGCGATCTTCAAATCCATGGGCGACCAAAATCCGGATGGTGCTCGGCACAAAGGAAGCAGATGTCACCATTGATCATAGGAAGATGATTAGCTGTCCAAGGCCTCCGTCCCATTTGCTGTCAGGAAGCTTGCCTTTGGGCACGTGTCACGATCAAACATCAGGATTTGTGCTCTAGCAGTGACAAGTCTTGTGGTGGTGTGAATCCTGCTTGCGTGTTGTGCCACTATGCAGAGTTGCCGCTGGAGGCTTGCCTGTTGATGCTGCGTGGCTCTTGCGTCATATAGCCAAGAAGCTAGCCACAACAAGTGTCCAATTCAACGACATCACCTCGTACTTGTCACGGCTTCCATTTTGAGCCATTTCGATAGAGCCTTTTTTCCGATTCGCCCTAGGTGTTTATAGGGGGAAACCACCCATGATTGGTTTTCCCTCAAGACAAGCTGGCTGAGATCGTCTATGTGGTGGCCGCCAAGCTGATGTTGGCCTCGATTTATTTGCCCGGCCCTCGACCGCGCCGTTGAGCACATGCTGGGACCAAAGTTGGAACACACCAAAATCACATCCGAACAAAGATCCGGCTTGACCATCTGGCGTCTGAGCTCAGTAAGATCGACTAATGCTTCGGGATAGAAGTATGTTCTTAGCACAGTTTGTGACGTGCAGGAGCCAGCACATTTTCAAGCTTATCTCACGGCAGGCCTGTGGAGGGGGGAGGCAGGTTGAGGGTGTCACACATACCCCAGCATAAACAACCCCTGGACACGTGTTAGTTGATGCGCGTATGAGCTGAATAATAAAAGACCGGCAGCCGTTCCGCTTTTGGTACCTGACTGGTCAGCTGAATTCTGGATCTCGTAGATAAACGTGCGTGGTCCCAAAGCGATACCGTGACTTGGCATGAGCTATGCGAATGTGCAAACTGATCTTCGGTGTTGTGGGGCAAGGGTATTGTCCCTGAATTTGCCGACATGTGTTGGGAATTGCGCCATATGCTTTTCCCGTCAATCCCCGGCCTCCATGCCAGAGGAGCCCTGGGATGCTGCAGCACAGTTGCGAGGCGCGTGCCAAGCAACTGCAACGCTCAGTTGAGGTACGGAAGTCTGCTCTTGACTTGGCATCCGTTCATCTCGTTGGTCATATGTTTGGCTTTGCCCTGGCAGGAAGCAGGCAAGGCTAAGGCTGCCATAAGCCCCAGCTGGCTTCCTTGATGCACCGCCCAATGTGGAAGTCTGCCGGCTGCCGCGGTGGCAAGTAAGCAACCTGAACGGTCAACAAATGGTTGATTTTGATGATTGCTCCCGTCGGACCGCGTATGCTCGAAATCATCAATCGGTCCAGAACCACAAACATGTATCGCCCGCACAAATCGTATTTTCAGCGGTAGCATACTTAATATTAATTACTATGAACTTGTTTTTTATGATTTGTCCGAATCTTCTACTAGATCAGAAGAATTTGACAGGAAAGGTTCAACCTTGCTGTGCTGACAAGCGCCAAGCCAAAGTCTAATAACAGGCGCCCTTTTGCGCAGCATGGCGTGATTTGGTGGTGCTTGCCTTGACGCAACACGATTCAGAACTGGGAAAGAGCCCAAGTTGACACATGTGCACCTTCCGAACCCAGACAACCTAGACGATGATTGACGAAATGTACTGTAAGGGAAGCGCCACAAGGGCCGGATACCCATGTGTGTTCATTGCGATTCTGACACTGGGGCGACCTAATGAGTAAACAATGGAAGGCACGTTGTCTGAGTTGTGTTTTTGTCGAGGCAGCGTAGATTGTGTGTGGGCAGAGCAAGTAGCAACGAGTGGCCTGTATTATCCATATTCACCCAGATTTGTTTTGACCGCAGTAGAAGTTTGTTTTGGCATCCCTTTCAAAATAAGAGTTGCAACAGATCCCACCTTTTTTCGGGGCCAGCGTTTGCGTGTTGATTTGATTTTCCATCATTGCGGAAGGCCAAGAAAGATGCTGTGAGGCAGAGCTTCAACACAGCAAAGAGAGGCGGCTCAGAGTTGGCCACCCGCAAACGCCACGGCTGAACTTCTGCAAACAAGCATTGATACTGAGTGCAAGCTAACCTGGAGGTGAAACGCGATCCCTTGCGTGATCCCTTGCGTTCTCCGCTGGATCTGTTTTCTGCTGGCCAGGTTGGACCCAACTCAGCATCTTTGTGCCCGCGACGGTGTGGCCCCTAAGATGCTCTCAGGTCGAACAGGTACTGCTAGCTACGCAGGAAGGCAGTGCTTGCTGTTGCGCAAATAGCTCACCAAGGGGTTCTCCCAGGCCATTCAGAAGTGAAGTGGAGATTTTGAGATGCGCACTTAGAGACTCGTTTAGAGGCCTGGTGCCGTTGCAAAGCTGCGCCCAGATTTGCATCGTTGGGAAGCGTAACGGGCGGAGGGACAGTGGGTGGCGTCCGCCGAGGTGTTGCTGCTGATTTGCTATGTGCCTCAGCTGAAAGCAGGCAAAGCGGGAGCTCTCTACCAAGCCATCTTGTCTCACGAGGTCCCAGGAAATCAGGGCTTGCCAGCATTGGATCAGAGCAAAACTGAATAAGTCCGAATAAGTTAATAAGTTTGGCTTGTGGCTGCCAGGGTGATTGCAGGCAAGTAATTATGTGAGGGCCGTCCTAAAACCCGGTTCTAATGCTCGCCGAAAAGTAAAAGTTGTCAAAAGCTGTGCGCGCGCAAGGAGTGCGCAAGTGCGGCCCAAGGCTCCCAAGGGGCGCGCAAGGTTACAGAGTTGAAGGGTTTCATGTACTGATGTTGCCTGGCTTCATCGAAGGAGGTGGTATCTTTCTGCTGTACTTATGTTTTGCGCATGTTGCTTGGGTCATGTGTAGGTCACAAGCTTGTTTGCAAAGGTGCGGCGTTTTCTTCAGTCAGACGCCAAACGAAGCCAAAGCTTCTGCGGTCAAGACTTCAACAATCAGCAACTGAGACGGCAAAATCCGCGCAAGCCGCGCGCAAGTTGCGCGCACGCACGAGAAGCCCCAGCAAGACATCTAGCCATTTGCTGTCTCGGATGTCTTTAGCGGCGCGGTTCAGGCAATGAAAAAGCAGCCGCAACATGCACTTTCCTTCTTTCAGGCTGTGCCCGAGCTGCGTGGCAGAGGCTGCTGTCCTTCTGTTAGAGTATGTTGCTGGCCTGGAATTGCTGGGAGCGACCTCAGCGAGAAGAGCCTTTGTGGGCTGCTGTGTGAACGACAAACACTGCTTAGAAAAGCTTGCGCGCAATCCGCCGCAATCCACACGAAAACTTTGCAAACCGATGTTAACGAAACCTAGTTTCTGCGTCACTGTGCGCACGCAAGTCCGCGCAAGTGCGGCCCAAGGACCCAATCCCGGGAAAAGGAAAATATAGGACAACCCTCATGTCAAATGGCAGTCAGCTAGGCCATGGAGTAGGCGGGTGAGGGCTGTCCAAGAAAGAGACAAGCGTTTCGAAGCACCCTTTCCCGAGCGCTTGTTAAGAGACAACTTAGGTCCAACAGTCGGAACCAGTTTTCTCGAACAGCCCTCGAATATGCTTAGAACTTAGAAGCCATAAGCTGTTGGATTCACTCAGCGAGTTGTCAGTGCACGACAGCGGTTTGTCATCAGTAATGTGAACATTCCAGGTCACCTTTGCAAGTCCGCTAGGGAAGGCCACTGCAGTGAGAGATGTTGGCAGACACAACGACAGCTGACACGCACAAACAAACACACACACACACACAGGCATCGTTGCATACGCTGCAGCTGTTGGCAATGCGGTTTCAGTCAATTTGAGGTGCGCTGTATTCTGGTGCACCCTGGGGAGATCCCAGACGATCCCAAGTGGGAGCACCTCGATGGCATCGGCGAGCCACGCAGATCCCCAAGCCATGGCAGCGGCTGCCAATACTTCATATTTTTGCAATAGCACGCGTGGTTTTCGTACATCATGCTGCAGGTCATCACTCATCACTCATCACCATCACTGTCACCACCACCATCATCAAAACCATCCCCATCACCATCACCGCCACCACCACCACCATCATCATCATCACCATCACTATCACCACCATCATCATCATCATCATCATCATCACCATGAACCATCACCATCACCACCACCACCATCATCAGCATCAGCATCACCATCACCATCACCATCACCATCACCATCACCATCACCACCATCATCATCATCACATCATCGTCATCATCATCACCATCACCATCATCATCATCATCAGCATCATCACACCAATGGCATTGTCATCACCATCACCATCACCATCCCCACTACCACCACCATCATCATCACATCATCGTCATCACCATCACCAGCACCACCATCATCGTCATCACCACCATCACCACCATCATCATCATCATCAAATCTTTGTCATCATCATCATCATCATCATCATCATCATCATCATCATCATCATCATCAGTATCATCATCACACGAGCGGAGCCCGTGCTGCTTAGTTTGTTTATATGTGCCCGGATAAGCCATGTTGAGCCATGATGAGCTGGGGTGCATCATTTATATGCACAACCCGCGTGGCTTCGAATGTGCACATGCACATGCTCTCACAATGTACCCACGCTGATGACAAATCACAGCAAGCTTTTGAGCTCCGCTGGATGCTTTGTCCCTGAAACTCCCTTGCATATTTGGCTTTGTCTCCTTCCGGATCCTTAAAGCCCGGTAGGGCTTTTTTGTTCCTTTTGATATGTCACTCGCGTGAAATTCCAAAAGTCAGCCCCTCATCCAGCCCAAGCGCCCTTGAGGTATTTGCCCCGAGACCGCGGCGTGACAATGGCACCTTTGAGCCAGGAGGTGAAGCGCACCGGGGAGCGCAGGCCGGGGGCTAGTCCCGTAGGATCTTGGTTTTTAGGCCCCGGACTTCAGGCCGGAGCCTGTAGCAATGGAAAGGAATGGAGCTGGGCTGAGTTTTTCATGTACTTTTTTGGCCTTTTGCATTCGAGCTGTGTCGGCCGCCACTGGCAATCATGTTTCTATCCAGGAATTGCTGCAAGTGATGTGAAAAGTGAGGGCTGGACAAGTTTGACCCTGAAACGGTCTCAAGCTGTGGTTTGAGCGCAGCTGGCTTGCATGCTTCAGCTGGTTGGCTAGGCTGTTGTTCCTGGAGCACACGGATTGCCTGGCAGCCTCCCTTGTTTCAAGCTTGTGTAGAAGACTACAGGAACTACCTAGCTGCCAGCCATCTATCCCAATGCCGTTCAAGTGTTTCTTTGCACTGTGCAAGCTTCTGACCCGCTGCGTTTCGGCATGTAGGCATTGCAAGTGGTGCGGCAAGTTCAAGCCGGATAGATGTCACCACTGCAGAGTTTGCCGCAGCTTGGCGGAAGGCATTCGTCCGCTTGTTGCCTGCGTTCGAAAGGACCGACTCGGCAAATGGACAGGTGCTGCATTCCAACTTGCCCACCCAACGTTTGCTCATGCGCTGCAGTTCCTGCGAAAGTTTTCTTACGTTTGTTTGTTGGGTGGATGGACGGATGGACGTGCTGGTTTGTGCTGTGTACGTAGTCTGACTCTGGTGCTTGTTGTTTTTGTTTGGCATGTAGCGCTTGTTGCTTGTGTTTTTGCTTTTTTCGTGCTGTATAGTGTTTCCTTTGTTGTGTTTACTTTATTGTTGATTTCTTCCTTTCTTTCCTTCCCTTTCCTTCCGTTCCCTTTCGTTCCCTTCCCTTCCCTTTCCTTTCCTTTGCCTTTCCTTCCTTGCCTCCTCCCTTTCATACTTACTGGCTACTGGCTCATGTTCATGTTCTTTCTTTCTCCCTCTTCTGTTCTTACTTTCTTCCTTTCTTTGTGCCTTTCTCTTTTCGGAGACCTTCCTTCCCTTGGGCGACCTAAACCGAAATTAAGCGAGCTGGCTTTCTCCTTGTTTTTGGATTTTGCCACAGTCCTCAGGCACTTGCATCCTCAAGATGGATCACCACTGCCCATGGATTTACAATTGCGCTACCCAGCTGCAGATGGCAAATGCTGGGCAGAGCTAAACATTGCAAACAAATTGCAGACAAAAGGTGACAGATAATCACGTGTCACATGCGCTATCACACTGCTAGCCGGCTGACACAAGCATACAACATGTGCAATTGCATGTGATTAGTGCGTTCAGGAAGTATAAAACCCTTCAGAGATGCATTGTGACCATCAGGGGCAAGGTTAATCAGTTAGATGTGACTGGTACAACGACAGCACACTTTGAGTTCATCCGGCAGCACTACTCAGAGGACACCGATCCTTTGGGAACAACTCTGATTTGGCTCGAGCGAGGTGCATGCAACCGTTGTTTCCTTGCTTCGATCTTTCCGGATGGGTCAAGAATGGATGGCAGCGATCTACTGAAATCATGTATTAATGGCGTTTATGCGATGCGCTAGCGCAGAGCTTGGAGCATAATAGGCAAGTCTGAAAAGTGTTCGATGAATCAGTCGTGTCCTTCGCCTCAGGTTGGGCACTACAACTACAAGTTCTTCATCCTGTTGCTTTTCTACTCAGATGCTTGGCTCAAAATTGGCTCACATGTGTTGTGCACAAGTGTGGAAATGCATTACAAGGAATCAACATGCTGCCTTTTGATGCTTGTTCTAGCCCCGGCAGCCTGATTCCATGAGGCCATTGATTGCCACCTCATTCTTTGGACCATGATGGAGTCGCTGATCCGCTGCATCAGTCTGCCTCAGACTCCGTTCGAAGAAATGCCGCTCAGCCAGCAAAGGCAGGCATGATCCAGAAACCATAGTTTGCCCAAAGCCCTCCATGGCCTGTTTGAGGAGAAAAGCGGGTGTTCCCATCAGCATGCGCGTAGCCTCTAGCATCAAATGCGCTTGTGGGGGATGTTCGGAAATGGACAATGCGGTGCTGGGAGAACATGTTGGAAGTGACATGCGTGTTTTCAACCTTGAAAGACTGCTGGCGGCAGTAAGTAAAATGGAGCCTTTGCAGGAGTCGGCTGCCATGTTCATGGCGAGTTGGTTGGACAACGTGTGCGCCAGGTTCCTCATCTTCTTCGGCGAGATTCTTGCGCAACTTGGCATTTTGCCCACAAGGATGCAAACGGCGACAGAACAATGGGCCTTCTTTCATATGGCCGCATGAGCTATTCTCAATACACTTGTTCACTTTGAGGCAATCGGCAGAGAAACCACCCTTGTAGACGGCATCTTAGACCACGGCAAGGCATTCCTGCCACTTGAGCAGCATCATGTTTTCAGCCGAAGGCTAGCTGAACGTAATTCATTGGCTAGCTAAAACACGTCCGCGAGGCCACTCCGCCTTGTCACGAAGCCTCGCGAAGGCAACATTTCCACAAGGTCTAGCCCCGCGAAGCCCCCAGCATAGGCTTCCCCGCATTGTATAAGCCCCAAACACCTAAAAAAGAGCACTGCCGCTTGAAGTTGCCACAGTCACGCAAGGGGCAGGCCCATCGACTGGTGGGCTTAGGTTTTTTCATCAACATGCTGAGTCGAGCTGTATAGCACATCTGAGGTTCGTGATGGCTGCGCTGGCGCGACAGGGAGGGCGGAAAGGGCAGCAGGGGGTCCATATAGCGTCATCCATCGCCTTATGAAACAAATAAACATGAATAACCCTTTGGCACATAGGAAAGCCGGGAAACCACAGTGCCTATTGGTGGTTCCTTTGCCGATGTCGTAGATTAGACTGGAGCGGTGGTAAATAATATGCCAACGACAGACTGCGCAGCTTGCACTTGCATCGCCTTGGTGGATTCCCGTCTTGGAAGCTGAACCCGCCAAAACCCAACCCTAACCCCTAAACCACCCCCCCAAACCAGCTTGAGCCACCCACAACATGTGTTGGAAATTGATCCCACTTCCAGCGGGGTTAGGGCGGGGGGCCATGTCTCCATCCCACAATGCTGGCTAACGTCCAGGGCGAATGAGTTCCTTTTCTTGGCTTCCTGGTCACAGGAAGGCAATCCCCAGTGCCATTCTGCTTGTTTGCTGCATGCACATTTTCTTGCTCCGGTTGTCCGACAGGTATCCGTCTTCCTGGGAATGCACCTCTGGCGCAGAGCTTAGGATGGGCGGACCTGGCCTTTTTGCTGGCCGCTTGGATCTGCGCAAGGTCTGGCTTTGGGCAGCCTCATCTTTTCCGGAATCACTGCGCAGCCAGCCCTCCTCAAAAAACTTGTGAAATTCAAGCATGTCTGTCATTGCACGTTATGACTTAATTTTACTTGGGATTCATCTGGAGGACCATACTCGTAAGAGGAAGTCCCCGAAAATGATATGATGCCCTCTACATGGGACCCACCCTGCATTACTATTGCCCCTGGGTCCAAAGTTGACAGTATGTAGCCCATGCAAAGACGCCGGCAAGAATCCCAAGTACATGGCGCAAATGCATCTTAGCTTTGCTCAGGATGAATGATCTCGTCATGCCCTCCTGAAATGTTGTTGCCAGCCTCCTTACGCTCAGATGCCTACTTAGGGCCAGAGCCGACTGTCCATCCTATCGGACGTGTTGATACCAGCTGATAGCATCTGATAGCCGCACGCTGTGCAACCCATTAGGACCATGTTCATGGAAGGTTTGGAGCCCACTCACTTCACCCGGCATCCTTCAAGAGCACTTCAGCTTGAGCAGCTTTGTAAAAATATGTTTGGTTCAAAGGATTTTTGTTCATGCGCAAGAGGTCAAATTTCAGCAGGTCAAACGCGCATGGATCACACGAGGCTGATGGCCAGAGGCCTCACCACCATCGAGTTCTGCGAGAAGTCTTTGCCCAAGGCGCCGACTCTGCTACGCAGAAATACAATTGGAGTACGGCCCCCCGGACAGGGAAACCTGAGTTCGGGCGTTTGAATTTGATTTTCTATCATCGGGATATGTTCCCGGAGCTCAGAGTACCTCTAAAAAAACCCTGTGTGTGTGTGACCAGATTTGGGAGTGACTGTGCAGACAGAGCTTGGCCACCAACGAATCACGTGATACCCTTTCCCGGATGACAATGTTGGGTGCTTTGGAAAGCAGAAGTTTGAAGGTTTTTACACGTCTGACGCACTGGGCATGCCTGTCATTTGCGTGTCCCTTTAGATGCGTGCTGGCGACTTAATAACAGCCAACAGACTCATTGATGATTCGTCAGTCAATCGAGCCCTTAAACTGTGACTGATGAAATGGCTTGAATCACTTGAAGCACCGGCCAGGATGGCAACAGGAACTTCAACTCAGTGCTGGGCGACCCAGGGAAGGACATTCTGTTCTGCAGGCCAACATGGCCACATCTCCAAACAGATTCAACATAGACTTCGGTGTACCTTCGGTTTCACATTCGAGAAATCCTCAAATAAGGAACCTTCAAAAGACTGATGCACCCAAATAGAGAGACACATGTCACCTGTCTCTGACTTGCATGCCGGCTTATGAAGGCCCAAAAGCCCGCACGAGAATGGTTGCTTCTTTTGTGACCTTTTGGAGCCTTCAGCACTGACCTCAATTGCGCTGCAACTGATCATGAGTTCCTGGTTTTTGTTCTTTGGGACACGAGAAGCCAACGGGCGCTCTTCGACAAGGCTCGCCAGTTACGAAAACCATCAAGGCAGCCAATGCCCTCTGCATACTGCAGACGAAGAAACAGCGACGCTAGCTTTGCCAGGGCAGGACTTGGCCAACATGTTGAGAATACAACCAGCTCACTTGAGGCAAGCGCTGAGTGCCTGAGGAATGGGCCCCTGGTCCCCGTTCGTGTCTTCGTCCAGAGTGGCCACGGCGGTACGTTTCGGACGTCGCCGAGGTATGACCTTGGGATCTTGGGGAACCTCAGGGCCGTGTTTGGCGCTAATGTGCTGCACTTAGTGCTGTGTGCTGCTCTGTGTTCAGAGCGGATCGTGTTTCCAGCTTGTTGCTCCGTTGTTGTCTTTATTGTGTTTTCTTGTTTAAGTTTGCCGTCAGGGTCCCTGAAACATGTTGTGGCATGTTATAGCTTATTGTTTTGCGTTGCAACTTGTTGCCGCTCTAAAATGCGGATGAGGAGGGTTGAGCATCTCAGAGTGCAGAATGAGAGCTGATTTGGGACTTCCCCTGAAAGGCCGTTTGAGACTCTCAGACTTTGGGTGAAGCCGTGCAATCAACGCATTTAACCATGCTAAGGTCTGTGGAAAGTGAACCACTCACACTCAATTTCGATAACCATCAGGCCACACAACCCCACACACACACATGCATGCACGCGCCGTACCACTGAATTAATCAGCTTAGACATAATGACATATATATGTAATATCATATTATATATATACATATGTATGTTCATTTTATACGAGATCCGCACATCAACCCATGCGCCCTCATGCACCGCTACCTGAACCGACTGGACACGTACTTTGCAGGGGCTTCATCACTCAAGTGCTGCCAAAGTTGTCATCCACAACTCGGGCGCTTTGTTGGCCCAGGGTTCACAAGGGCAAGCAGACGTCGGTTGATTCGGTGACTCGCTTAACTCGAGGTGGTTTTCTGGTTCCTGCCGCTGGGCTTGCCAGAGGGCGATGGCCTCACCTTCATCAGCGACGAGACCTGCTTGACAAAGGACCCATTCGCTCGAGAGAGGAGAGGAGGGTATGATATGACCAACAAAGGGTGCCAGGCTTCAGACATCGTCCTCGTGGTTCAAGCCAGATTAATCAAGTGGCGCTGCACTTTGTGACGTTCGGGAAGGCTGTGCACTCCCATCACATGTCAGGGTGTGTTGGCTCCGGTGGCCTTGTTGTTCAGCAGCGCCGCGTTCCGTTCTATCCAGTTTGCTACTCAACCAAGATGAACAGCTGACACAGGGTGGCCCGTTTTTTGGAATATGAGCAAGGAACCAGGCCATGCTGCAAGCATCCAGTATGAAGTCCAGTGGGCTGCTACGGAGAGGGGGCTCTCGAAACACCCAGGATGAGGGGCTATGAGCACAATGGACACATGGAGGTTGTCTGGGGCATGTTTCACCTTCCCGCAGATGTGTAGTCACTGTTGTGACATGTCGATCTGGAATCATCCGGCGCATGAAAAGTGATTAATAAATGTAGAGCAAAGGCTTTGACTGAAACCACGGATTCTTTGCAACTGTCGCTTGTTCCGCAATCTCGTCTCCTTGGCAGTGAAGGTTCTGGGCTTATTCAATGCTCACAACATGTTGGAAGTGACAGATGCGTCCCTTCGAGCGAATTCAAGTGTCATGCAGCTGAGTTTAACTGTATGCAACTAAGTTTGGGCACAGGACATGGATGGCACCAACGGCATTCGCCGTCAGATCCTCGGCGCCTTGCCACCTTCGCAGTGA